GCAGAGCTGGGGTGGGAATGGGGGCACTGGGATGGGAATGGGCAGCACTGGCATGGGAATGAGATGGGATGGGGATGGGCTGTACTGGAATGGGACAGACAGCACTGGGGTGGGATGGGATGGGATGGGATGGGATGGGATGGGATGGGATGGGCAGCACTGGGCTGGTACTGGCAACACTAGTCCAGAACTGGGAGCACTGGGACTGCATGGGGTGGGATGGGCCGACACTGGGAGCACTGGGCTGGCACTGGGAGCACTGGGCCAGCACTGGTGTGGCAGTGCCCCGGCTCAGGCCTGTCCCCGCAGTTACTACGGGCTGACGGTGTGGTTCCCGGACATGATCAAGCACCTGCAGAACATCGAGTACGCCTCGCGCACCAAGCTCTTCACCCGCGAGAAGGTCCGGCACTTCACCTTCAACTTCACCCTGGAGAACCAGATCCACCAGGGCGGGGAGTACTTCAACGACAAGTGCGTCCAGGGGGGATGCTGAGCCCGGGTCCGCTCATTGCACGAGTGGAGGCCACAACCGCGCTCCTCCGTCCCCCCAGGTTCATCGGGCTGAAGATGAAGTCGGTGATATTCGAGGACTCGCTCTTCGAGGAGTGCTACTTCGAGGACATCACCTCCAGCAACACCTTCTTCAAGAACTGCACCTTCATCTCCACCGTCTTCTACAACACAGGTTTTGGGGAATGGGGGGGTCCCCAAGGGGGTGACAGGGGTGGGGGTGGCCCCACCAACCGTTTCCTCCGTGCCTGCAGATCTCTTTGAGTACAAGTTCATCAACAGCCGCGTGGTGAACAGCACCTTCCTGCACAACAAGGAGGGCTGCCAGCTGGACTTCAGTGACGACAACAACGCCTACATGATCTACTTCGTCAGCTTCCTGGGCACCCTGGCCGTGCTCCCCGGGAACATCGTCTCGGCCCTGCTCATGGACAAGATCGGCCGCCTCCGCATGCTGGGTGGGCATTTTTGTACCTACGGGGGCGGTGGACCCCACAAAAGCTTGCCCAGAGAAGCTGTGGGTGCCCCCTCCCTGGCAGTGCCCAAGGCCAGGTTAGACGGGGCTCTGAGCATCTGGTGGGGGACGTCTCTGCCCATGGCAATGGTGTGGTTGGTCTTCAAAGGTGTCTCCCAACCCATGGCAGGAGGTGGGACTGGGTGACCCTTAAGGTCCTTTAGGGTCCTTTAAGGTCCCTTCCAACACAAACCATTCCATGATGCTATGGATGAGGCTCTGAGCAGCCTGGTCTGGTGGCTGATATCCCTGCCCATGGCAATGGTGTAGAAGGTCTTCAAAGGTCTCCTAGTCCATGATGAGAGGTTGGAACTGGGTGACTTTTAAAGGTCCCTTCCCACCCAAACCCTTCTGAGATGCCAGGAATGGGGCTTTGAGCAGCCTGGTCTGGTGGGAGGAGTCCCTGCCTGTAGTAGTGGCCTAGATGGTCTTCAAAGGTGTCAATCATGGCAGGAGGTTGGACTCAATGACCTTTAAGGAATTTAGGGTCCTTTAAGGTCCTTTCCCACCCAAACCATCCCATGATCCTATGGATGAGGCTTTGAGCAGCCTGGGCTGGTGGGAGGTGTCTCTGCCCATGGAGGGGTTGGACTGGGGGAGCTTTGAGGTCCTATTCAACCCAAACCCTCCTGAGATACCATGAACAGTGCTTTGAGCAGCCTGGACTGGTGGACAATGTCCATGACCAAGGCAATGGTGTAGATGGCCTTCAAAAGTCTCCCAGTCCATGATGAGGGGTTGGACTGGATGGCATGTAGAATCCTTTAAGGTCTCTTCCCACCTAAACCCTTCACATTGAGGGGCTGGAGCGTGGCCAGAGAAGGGCAACGGAGCTGGGGAGGGGTCTGGAGCACCCGAATGATGGGGAGCAATGAGGGAGCTGGGGGTTCAACTGGAGAAGAGGAGCTGAGGGGAGACCTTATCCCCTCTGCAGCTCCTGAAAGGAGGGGAGAGCCAGGGGGGGTCGGGGTCTGCTCCCCAGGAACAAGCGATGGGACGAGAGGAAACGGCCTCAAGTTGTGGCAGGGGAGGGTGAGGTTGGATGTTGGGAGGAATTTCTGTCGTGCAAGAGCGGTCAAGCAGTGGCAGGGGCTGCCCAGGGCAGTGGTGGAGTCCCCATCCCTGGAGGGGTTTAAAAACCGAGGAGATGTCGTGCTTAGGGAACATGGTCAGTGGTGGATTTAGGGCTGGTTCAATGGTTGGACTCAGTGACCTTAAAAAGGCCTTTTCCAACCCAAACCATTCTGTGACTCCATGATCTCCTGCCTCAGTTTCCCCTCCCCGATGCCACTCGTCCCCTGTCCTGCCCTGACGTGTCCCTGTGTCCCTGCAGCCGGCTCCAGCGTCATGTCCTGCGTCAGCTGCTTCTTCCTCTCCTTTGGCAACAGCGAGTCGGCCATGATCGCGCTGCTGTGCCTCTTCGGCGGCGTCAGCATCGCCTCCTGGAACGCCCTGGACGTGCTCACCGTGGAGCTCTACCCCTCCGACAAGAGGTGCGGGCGGCCCCATGGCTGGCACCCACAGTGGGGGGGTGTGGGGTGCTGGGTGCCAGATGTGAGGTGCTGGGGGTGACATTTCAGGTGCTGAGGTTGACATTTCAGGTGCTGGGGGACAGATGTGGGGTGTGAGGTGCTACGTTTTGAGTGCTGGGTGCCAGAGGTAGGGTGCCAGGTCTGATGTTTTGGGTGCTGGGTGCCAGATGTGGGGTGCAGGAGGTGAGGTTTCAGATGTCGGGTGCCAGATGTGGGATGTTGGGAGCAACCTTTCGGGTGCTACATGTGAGGTCTTGAGTGCTGGGCGCCCACTGTGGGGTGTTAGATACCAGGTTTTGGGTGCTATGTCCCAGTTGTGAGGTGCTGTTTCCAAGACATAGGATGCCAGGTGTGAGGGTTTGGGTGCTGGATGCCAGATGTGGGTGCAAGGTTTTGGGTGCTTGGTGCAAGGCATGGGGTGCAAGAGGCTGTGTATGGGGTGCCAGGTGCAACATTTTGGGTGCCAAGTGTGAGGTTTGGAGTGCTGGGTGCCAGTTGTGAGGTGCTGGGTGCCAGCTGTGGGTTGCTGGGTATGAGGATTTGGGTGCTAGTTGGGGTTTTGGGTGCCGGGTATGAGGTTTTGAGTGCTGGGTGCAAGGCGTGGGATGCTGGGCACATTCTGGGTGCCAGATGGGGTTTCGCCTGTTGAGTATGAGGATTTGGGTGCTGGGTACAAGATTTTGGGTGCTGGGTATGAGGTTTTGGGTGCTGGGTATAAGGTTTTGGGTGCTGGGTGCCAGACTTTGGGTGCTGGGCACATTTTGGGTGCCAGGTGGGGTTTTGCCTGCTGGGTGTGAGGTTTTGGGTGCCGGGGTGCTGCCTGCCCGGGGCGGGGGTCCCCCGCAGTCCTCGTCCCGCCGCCCCCCC